TGGAGACCAGGCTGGCCTCGAACTCACAGAGATCCGCCTGCCTCTGCCTCCCGAGTGCTGGGATTAAAGGCATGCGCCACCACCGCCCGGCTAATTAATTAATTTTTAAAAAAGAATGACTACAGTAAAATTAGATGTGGCTATACTACAAATGTAGACATTAAGAAGTCAACGTCTACAAAATAAGATCCAGGCTTAGAAAGGAAACTACCAGCTTCTGGCCCCTGCTTCTCATACCGCTGCACAAATACATATTTACAACATAAATGCCACAACTGTGTGACGGTTGCTATCAGACGGTTGCTATAACTGTCAGGATCTGGAATGGCCTTGTAGGTGAGTCTCCTCCATAGCCACGAGGGATCATGTTGACTGGGTTAACAGAGATGGGAGGACCCATGCTAAAGTAGGCAACACCATTCTCTAAGTTGGGTCCTAGATTGTACGGGATGCTGACTGAGCACAAGCACTCCCTGCTCTCTGCTTCCTGACTGTGGACAGAATCTGCTGCCTGCATCTCACCATCATGGACTGATCAGGAGTAAACCTTTGTCCCTGACAGCTGCCTATGCACAGAGTTTTGGAATGGTAACAGCAAAAGGAGTTAAGTCAGGTAGGATGGAACAACTTATACTTGATTCCTTTCCACATTAAATAGAAAAATCTATGTGGAACTTTTCATGATTTATGACATTTTGCATTGTAGTTTACACAGTCTTCACTGTTACTAATTATGGAATTCAAGAAACGTCAAAACACAAATTTTCTGATGTATCAGAAAAATATAAAGGGGCTTAAACTTAGTAACATATTAAAAATACCTGAAAATTCCTAATGTTTATAAACACGGGTATTAAAATCTTCACAAAATGCATTTATTTTATAAATATATGTTGCACATTACTTTTATAGGATCTGAGGCTATATATTTATGATTAAGAAGGAAACATTTCCAGGTCTCATGAAAATAAACTATCTACACTCCTACAAATATTACAATTACCATTGCTTAAGTGGATTCTCAGAAAATGTTTTTCTCTGTAACTGTTATTTTAACTTAAATGGTTTTCTATTATTTGGAGTTTAAGCAAGGCTTGACTTTTGAAACTTAAAGATTGGTTTATCATTTCTTTAATAACAGAATCTGTATTTGGGATATTCTGTTGCATCAGAAAGCACTTCATCAGTGCTCTGTTGGATACACAGGAAAGACTTTCTTAACTGGTCATTAGCATTACCAGTAAGGATAACTCAGAGAAGTTAGATGAAACAACATGTGCCCAGCAGGTCCAACTGGCACCTGGAACATCTTTGTAAGCGCTGTGTGAGTTGAATGACCAGAAGGTGGCGCTGCAGGGCTGCACACAAACTTGAAACCCTCCAACTAAGAGGTGGGCACTAACCAAGGAATGAGTTTCTTTCCCCAAGGTTTAGTTTCTTTCCTCTGACAAAAGAAAGATCTCACAGTGTGCTACAGGAAACTAGAAAGGTTATGCTTTGGGGAGGAAATTTATTCAAAGATTTATTTAAAACAAACCATTTATCACAAACTATATCATGTTAAAAATCAAAAAGCCTCGTAGATTCTGACGATTCTTTTGAAGCTTCAGTTACAGGATTCAACACTTTTATTTCTCAATGATTACAAATGTGAAGCTAGTTTGACAGTGAGTATTCCTATAAGACAATGAAGAACAAAAGAAACACATTTGTTTTAACTATAAAATCAGCAAAAGACTTTAAAATAATTCAGAAAAAGTTAGCCTTTTCCCCCTTGATTGTTTTTACCTTAAATTACAAGTACCTAATGATGGGTTTGAAATAACTTCATTATACAAAGTCTACACAACTGGAACTGGAGAGAGGACTCAGTGGTTAAGTGCACTTGCCGCTCTTGCAGACTACCTACGCTCAGCTCCCAGCATCCACATGGGACCAGCTCCAGGCGAGTCTTTTGGCCTCCTAGACACTGGCATGTATGTGCACAGACCCACACACAGACCCACATACATAATCATAATTGAAAATGAAGTAATTTTTTAAAGCACATACAACTGAAGACGATGTCACTTTGTCTATTTTCTATGATACTTTACGGACCTGGCCACTGGGAATCAGCCGAGGAGAATGGTCTCCAGTGCCACTCAAGCTTAGGCTTTCATTAGAGTAATTGCACTGGGCCCGTCTGTAGATGAGAGGGAACAAGGTTTTGTAATGCCATGCTTGGCCCTGTTCTTTTCAAAATAATATTAAATTAACATGAATTTTGACCAATTGTTTTCTTGGACATAGATTTTCTTAGAAAACAAACTCTTATGATTTATGCTGAATAGAATTGGGTGGGGGGGTTACTGGCAGTACTGGGGATCAGGATTGTCTCCACTTAACCTCTGAGCTACATCTCCAGCACACAGGAAACTTTAAAAGCCTCATCATCAAATATGAGGCTATTACATTTATTTAATAACTGTCCCCCCACATTAGGAACAGGGGCAGGAATTCATGTGAAGAAGAAGTTATAAGGACATTAGTAGCAGATCAGTATGCTGAAAAATGGAGCTACAAAGATTAATGCTTTAACAATGCAACCATGGCGGGGTGGTGGTGGTGGTGGCGGCGGCGGCGGCGGCTGCTGCTGCTGCGCACGCCTTTAATCCCAGCACTCCGGAGGCAGAGCCAGGCGGATCTCTGTGAGTTCGAGGCCAGCCTGGGCTACCAAGTGAGTTCCAGGAAAGGCACAAAGCTACACAGAAAAACCCTGTCTCGAAAAACAAAAACAAAAACAAACAAACAAAAAAATGCAACCATGAAACTATTCTACCTCTAAAATACGATTTTATGACCCAGAGTTTCAACTGCATCATTTGTATGAACAAAATGGTAAATATATTTTTTTTGCTCCCCAGCTCTACAATTTGGGGCTTGATCAGCAGTGTTATATGATTATAAAGTTTACACTTCACATTGAGCACAGATGCAAACTATGCCATGAATAAATGAATGAGTGAATGAATGAATGAATGAGGTCACCTCCCTGCCCTGAGATCTGTGGAATCTATCCACTGAAGAACTACCATGTAGAGATGACTCTGGAGATAACACAGCCCTGCAGCACAAGTCCTGAACACAGTGTTTCCTTCTAACAGCTTGTGTGGTACATGCAACAATACTGACACAATTCTAGATGGAAACCTCAGCATCTAGCTGCATCCCCAGCTTCCACAAATCAGTGTCTAATTTACAGTTTTACCAAATGTCTGAAAGAAAAAGACCTTTAAAGACGCTTTACATAAACACATACACGATGACATTTCTTCATTGCTGACAATCAATTTGTGGAAGCAACATTCTTAAAAAAGAATGCTTTTCTTTATATGTTTCTTTCTTCTAATTTGAAGCATGCAGATATAAACAATTTGAAACAAACATTAAATCTGGAAATTATTTTTGAAATAATATAAACACAGAACAGAACTCTTGTTTTACTAAGAGAAAACCAGTTGGAAATTTGTATTTAGAAGTAGCAGCTGGGCATGATGGCTCATGCCTTTAATCCCAGCACTCGGGAGGCAAAGGCAGGCAGATCTCTGTGAGTTTGAGGCCAGCCTGGTCTACAGAGTGAGTTCCAGGACAGCCAGAGCTGTTACACAGAGAAACCCTGTCTTGGTGGGGGTGGGGGGTGGGGTGGGGAGTGGCAGCACAAATTACTTTCCCAGGAACACTAAAAGCAGTCAATCCCAGTCACATCACAATTTTGCACAATTTGCTATATATTTGAAACATTTCTGATTTTATTTTTGCAAACTGGAATTTCTACTAGATAAAAGCTCTTCAGCTTTTAATTGTTTTAAAAAGAGCTCATGTGAAGCTCACAAATGTAATGTGTGAACTTCTAGCAATCAGTTTCAAAACAGTGATGAGGACTTTCAGAAGACTATAAAAAAGAAAGCCTCCAAAGGCTTCCGGGAAACCTTAACATGCGTCATATATCCTGATTATCATGTATCAAATTTTAAAAAGCAAGGATTTTTCTATTTTAAATGCAAATATTGGTTAAAATTGTTTTACAGGCTCTATACATAAAGAGCGTAAAGGGCAAGAGAGTACTTAATGCAAGCATGCAGATGTGGAGTCAGGTGAATACTTTCACTGTATTTTCATGCCTCCTGCCTCCTGTGGCAAGTTTCTCACAGTCTACAATAGTGGGGGAACAGGGATCCACGGCCCCAGACTCAGGAGGGCAGCCTACTTCCT